TAAGTGAAAGAAGCAGACACATAAAAATAAATGCCACGTTTTCTCACTCATATGTAGGGGCTAAAAAGTTAAACTCATGGAAGTAGAGAGTAGAATTGTGGTGACTAGAGGCTGGGAAGGGTAGCAGGAAGGAGGTATATGTGTATCTTTCAATCAATAAGCAGGTACAACATTACAGCTAGATAGGATAAATAAGTTCTAGTATTCTATGGCACTGCAGAGTGACTATACTTAACAGTAATTTATTGCATGTTTTTAAATAGCTGGAATAAAGGAGTTTGAATGTTCCCAAAACAAATAATAAATGTTTGAGGTTATGAATATGCTAATTACCCTGATTCAATCATTTACACATTGTATTCGTATATCAGAATATCACTTGGTACCACATACATTTGTACGATTATTACATGCCAATTAAAAATGTTTTTAAAAAAGGACTCGAAAGTATATAAAGTAAGCAAGAACTACTCCCTTACTAAGACCCATTAGGAAAGAAATAATAGGAATATATTCCCATAAAGCAGTTCTAACCAAAGTTTGTTATACTGCCTGCTACTTGTCCACAATGAAATATGTACAGAAATTGAGAGAAAGCATTTGAAATCTTTTATAACAATTGACATTATCATAATGTCCAACCCAATATGTAATTTGGTGTCTGTTGAATGTGATAATAAAAAGTTGGAACTGACATTTTGCATATCTTATTTTATTTTCTATTTATTTTTCTTATATTCTGCAAATATGTTGATCCATGGCATATTGGAAATAAAAATAGTTCACACTCCAGGTAGTATAAAAATTACTCTAAATTCTCAATTTAGTGCTAGTACTGCAGCTACTTTCTGAGCATTTAAATGTCATTCCATCAAATGTGAATGTTGTCATGTTGTTTTTAAGTTTAAAATTGTGTTCTACTAATAACCCTTTTCAGAACTGTGATTGTATAATGGCCATAATGCATATTCAAAAACACAGATGTGACCTTTGATCTAGATAGGGCAGCGTTTTCTTGTCCTCTACAAGTATTCATTTGGTTAGCCACCTTGAAATGTTCTGAAGCTCTGCAATTGTTTAAGCTGCTACCAAGCCAATGAATGCCGATCAATCTTATTTTGACAGCATCAATACCTTAAAAACCTGAGGAAAAGGAAGTAATTTCAGGGAAAATAAATTACTTACATATTTTTGCTTAAAATGACAGGTCTGGGCTCCTATTTACAATAAAAAGGATACTTTTCTAACTTTTTTTAATGAACTTTTAGATAAAACTAAATAATAAACTGAGAAATCCATGTACAGATGAAAAAGTGTAGAAACAAACGAAAATGGGGAAGTTACTTATAGTGACATGGACAGTTAAATGTAATAGATGTATGAATTGTAGTCATATAATTTTACAGTCTAATATACACAGCACATTATTCACTCAATTACTATGTGTGGAATACTAGCTAAGGCTAGGAACTCTTTGTTCATAGCCTTCACTCTTTACCTCAGGCTTATTGAGGAATAGGCAGAAGTGAACAAAACAAGGAACTCAAATGTATTTACTTTTGTCTGTACTGATATTCTTTTGAACTACAACCTGCTATTTATTACTAATTGAATTTTAAGAATAAAGTCAGTGTTGTAAATTGGCAGTAACAAAAGATTAAATATAAAAGACTCTATTTCTAGCCTGTTCCTGTAGCTGAGTGGCCTTGGGCACGTCATAGTGTCACCACTAGCTTCTGGTTTTTTCCATCTGTTAAGTGATAAGATTGGGTAAGATGACACTGTAGGTCCATTCAGGAGCTGTGTCCATAAATATGTAAGTTAAGAAAAAAATTATAAAAAGATCTTTTAAATTGCAGTTATCCTGTGAAAGACCTTTCTGGAAAGTGCTCTTCATTTAATAGTGCCAATGAACCTTTTGAAAATGACCATCCATTTACATACACCTGATACATAATAAAATTGAATGCAAACATATAAATGTATGTACTATTTTACAGTTTATTCCATGCATAACTTAAATTCTGTTTTCAACCAATATATTCAAGACTAATACTGTCTTCATTTCAAAAGACAGAATTACTTAAATAACACTTCCCAATGCCATATTCTTTCTGTGAATATAAATTAAGGAATGACACTGTCCAATGTGCTACCGTCTCTGTGAATACAAATGAAAGAGTTGGCCTTGTTGTTTGAATTTGGATTCAGAAACTATCTTACCAGGCAATCCCTTATGTACTAAGCTCTGCGTATTTATGGTACACCATTTTGGGCAGCTGCAGTGCATTCAGTGCTTAGGGAATATGAAAATGACTTTGAATTTGGATAAACTGGTGCACTGGAACCTGGAGAAAATTCCAAGATCTGTACAGTACCCTGGGACGTTGGCATAGGTTGTGATTATTAACCTGATCAAGGGCAAAGGGATATTGAATATTGAGCAAATTCCAACGCATTCATAGGACTATCATATGCTGTGGCCCACTCATTGGTAAGCTCTGGATTGATGAGGAAGTCCAAAGCTGTGGGGCATGTATTTCTCATAGGACTTGAGTAGTTCTAGACATATGGGACTCAGAAATCATATCATAATAGCATTGCTCCTTTCTCGATTCTTTTTGGATTCTGATTCTTCCCAGTAAAATGACTCAATCTGGTGCTAGTTTGCTTCTAACACTTCCATTCATTATGAATTCTCATTGCAACAGAGTCAAGCAGGAGCTCCAAAGCCTTCTGCAAACAGTACCTAGCTATAATTTGAAAACATTAATTTGTTCACTGCTTTTACAGTAACTTTCTATTTATGGCAAGTAATACTGGCTTTTCATTTATGGTAACAACATAAAGTTATCTTTTCAAATAGATTTGTTTAAGCCCCAGAGGTATGTTTATTTAGAAAAACTTTAAGTAATAATCTATGACTGGCAAGAATTTCTGAGATTTGGTATTTCAAATAATTGAAGCTTGAGAAACATTGGACTGGTGGATAATGCACTGAGCTGGAAGATAGGAAAATTAGTTACTAAATCTAATTTTAACCCTGTCACTAATTATCAGCTTGTCCTTGGGCAAGACGGTGAATCTTTCATGTCTCCATTTCCTCATTATCCAGTAAGTGTAATGATATTTGCCAAACTACCTTTGGAGTGACAATGTGAAGATTAAAATTAAATGATGAATGGTGAAATAGTATGAACATTGGAAGTTATATGTAGATAAGGTTCATTATTGTGTATCTGAAATGTCACTTTTTATTTACCATCCCACAAAAAACACAAACAATATCAAAACCATTTAAAGAAGAATAATATTATCTCTGTTTTCTTCTCTAGGACCATGACAGTTATTGGTGGTGGTAGTGATGATGGTGGTGGTGATGGTGGGGTGTGTGTGAGTGTGTGTGTGTGTGTGTTTCTATGGATTTTTGTGTGTGTGTGTGTGTTTCTATGTATGTGTCTGTGTGTGTGCTTATGTGTATGTCTGTGACAGAGAGAGAAAAAAAGAGACTGACTTCACTCAGTCTCCTTATGTAAACTATTCCTAAATATTAAGGCTCTAGTCATCTTTTCCAGGTTAATTGTATTTTATTTTTGCTATTTCTCATGGTACTAAAAAGCTTGAAAAGTCAACTATGTTTAAAAATGAAACTAACAATACATCGTATTCACTCTAAGTTTTAATAAAATACTGCAACCTATCTGAATATTTTGAGTTGGTAACATACAGGACTTTTTAGTTGCATACAAAAATTATTTCTTGACCTGAAACAATATTTGGATTCTTGTTTATTTTAGTTATTTATTGGTTTTAAAACCATAAAAATCTAATAATATGATATTATCTTTTCACAAAAGATATTTTATTGTTACATGATGCCATTTCCTATAGACTTTAGGATTTCTTTTTCTAATTTAATCTCTGGCTTATTCTTGAAGTTAAGGTTTTTGTTTTGCTTAAAATATAATAGTTCAATTAGATATTTGATACATTTTGATATTAATGACTAATCCATCACGTTTTTGACTGTGTTTTATTTGAGACATAAATACAACTAAGTTCTAAATTATTAATTTATTATATAAAATAGAGAAAATTGATACACACAGAAATAATCCTAGCAATTGTGATTTGGTTTCCCATTCCATTTAGCAAAGGTTATTTAAGCATTATTGCTGATGAATTAGGAAACGATAGACATCATAATCTAATTTGTATATAAATATTTAGGCCTGATCCAGAATGGCAGTTCTCAAACTTAAGCTGTCATCAGGATCACCTGGAGGGCTTGTCAAAACACAGATTTCTTGGCCCATTCTCAGATTCTGCTTCAGTAGCTCAGTGGTGAGGCCTGAAAAATTGTGTTTTTGATAAGTTCCCAGGTGAAGCTAAGGCTGATATTGCATTTCTGGGACTATACTTTGAGACTCATTGGTCTAGTGGAAGGCAGTCGACCAGAGCAATAAATCCCATGGACTTTGGTGGTAGGCTCAGATTTCAGCTCTGAGTTTGGCACTTATGACTGTGTAACTTTGATAAGTTAGAGATCAATTTTGTCATCCATAAAATAATTATATCTGTTAAAAATATTGAATGAAATAATGCACATTGTTTGGAACAATGCTTATATATTATGAATTCACTAAATACAGTATCAGTAACTAATTGCAATGGTAGTAACAGTGAAAAATCACAGAAGGAGTAATTAATGGTAATAAAAAGTATATACACATTTGCCTTAGTTCCATTGCAGTAAAAGTTTGTTAGTCTTTCTACGGAAGGATGGGCAGAGTGCTTGCCTTTCATTTATCATTGTGTCCATGATAAACATTCTGCACAAGACAAGGCATTAGTAAAAAGAAGTAATGCCATAGTGAAAGCACTTTCAAGAGCACTTTGGAGGTTAGAATCTAGATTGTAGTTTAAACAAAAGTTTCTCCATTTGTACAATGCTTCTCACTATTCAGAACTTACTGCCCTTGTTTCTTTCCTTCCCTTAGCAACAAGAGCAAGACCCAACAAACCTATACATCTCAAATCTCCCCATTTCTATGGATGAGCAGGAACTTGAGAACATGCTGAAACCCTTTGGACATGTCATTTCCACAAGAATTCTAAGAGACGCTAATGGAGTCAGCAGAGGTGTCGGCTTTGCCAGGTAAAATTCTTGCTTTATATGTTATCGATCTTTCCTCAGTGTTCCTTTTAAATTCCATTCCTTTTTAGTACTAGAGCTCTTAGCAATAGAATATGCAAAATAAATAAATAAAAGTAGTTTATCAAGTCTGTCTCCCTCTGTATATTTGCTTGGAGCTAAAGAATTTCAATATAATTATAAATAAATCGTGCTTGTTAAAATGTACACATAATGAGTTTATGTGTCTTGAGTCATAATAACATAGATACTCAGTTTCCAGTCCTTACTGTGCTTGTAGATCAACAAAATCAGATGCTGCCAATACCTGACGGAGATAATAAATGCCCACTACCCCTAAGCAAAAGAGCCCATGTGGTGAACAAAGCATCTCAATGTTTTTTCATTGATTTCCAAAAAAGGGTGCTAGCATTTCTCAATAAAGAGCAAATAAAAGAAAGGAAACATTTAGAGAAAGGAGAATGATTGAGAAGACCCAATGAACCCAGAAATACAAGGGAGGTCAAAAAGCCATTTGCGTTTAAGAGGCTCTGGTTATGTGTTTTTGATACTTTAGGCAGAACGGGAAAAAATGTATTCCTTTCATTGTAAGTAAAGAAAGAGTAGTTTTCATTTTAACTTTGAAAGAATGTTTACAAAAGAGGATCACAGCCAGGAATGGAGTTTAAATGGTTGTACCTGCTGTGCTTTCATGAAAAACAAAGCTAAAGAAACCACAGAGTAAGAGAAACTGCTCAATGACAATGAAGAAAAATAAAAGTCTTGTCTCTGTGGCTTGGTACGTTTATGTGTGTTTCCAGTTGATTTAACATAGATGAATGGATGGATGTTAAATATTACGTGGAAGTCCGCCCATTGCAGACAAGTTTGTTCATCTAGGATAAACTCTGCTATCACTTGAAATACCATTCCAAGGGTGGGCACGATGGCTCACGCCTGGAATCCCAGCACTTTGGGAAGCCAAGGTGGGTGGAACAGGAGGTCAGGAGTTCGAGATCAGCCTGACCAATATAGTGAAACCCCATATCTACTAAAAATACAAAAAGTAGCTGGGCATGGTGGCATGCACCTGTAGTCCCTGTTACTTGGGAGGCTGAGGCAGGAGAATTGCTTGAACTCGGAAGATGGAGATTTTGGTGAGCTGAGATTGTGCCATTGCACTCCAGCCTGGGCAACAGAGCAAGATTCCGTCTCAAAAAAAAAAAAGAAAGAAAGAAAGAAAAAGAAAAACCATTCCAAACTAACTTCTGTTAACTCGCTTCGGAAGATAACAAGTCATTTTGTATATGGTAACTGATCTCTAACTTTATTACTTTGGAGTTATGGTTGTGGACTGTGTGTTAAAATTCCTCTTATTCTCCGTAATTCTGTACACATAGTAAACCAGTAGATATGTGCAAGGTACCTGCTTGATAATTTCAATAGAAATAAACAGAATGAAGAAAATCTCCCTGACTTGAATGTGTGCATGAGGCATTCAGGCTTTCAGGACATTGACAATGGTTGATTTTCACGGTCAAGGCAGAGCATGTGACACTACTAAGATCTCTGAATTTAGCCAATGTAGTTATTCTTATATAGTGTACAACTGGCTGGTGGGGGCCTGAGCAATGTGGGAATTCGCTGAACCCACTACCATGTTTCACTTTACATATCATGCACATGCCTTGGTTCTTCCCCCACACCCTGCCCTCTAAAAATTCCCCAATAAATTAGTTTCTCCTTCATTTGGACTCCTGCTGGGATATAAATGAATTTTGAATCCATTAAGAGAACATATTTCCAAGAAAACCTACAATGATTTTTCTTTTCCTTAAACAAAGGGTATGTTGGTACAAAGTATATTAGTTTCCTAAGTCTGTCATAGAAAAATGTCACAGACCAGTGGTTCATACAACATAAACTTATTTTCTCACAACTCTGGAGTCTGGAAGTCAGAGATCAAGGTATCTTTATAGAGTTGGCTTCTTGCAACAGCTTTCTTCTTGGCTTGTAAATGGCTGTGTGAACCCTCTCTCCTCGCATGGTCTTCCTTCTGTGCATGGCTATGTCTCAATCTCTTCTTTTAAGAGCACCAAGTCATATTGCATTAGGGCCCACCCTGATGGCCTCATTTTAACTTTGTTGCCCCTTTAAAGACCCTGTCTCCAAATTCAGTCACATTCTGAGGTATTAGGGATTAGGACTTATATGAATTTTGTAGGGGGCACAGTTCAGCTCCTAACACAAAGACTGAACTATTCATTTCTCTAACATTTATCTTTTCTATTAAATGAGAGTTTGCTTAAAGGAAGCATATTTTTCTTAAGTACAGAATCAAGTAATATATATTCTAAAAGCCAAGACCATAATGCGATATATGATATCATGAAAGAATAAAACTTACAAAGTTATTTTTCTTTAGGAACTGAGGAAGGCTGGGAACATTACATTTTATCTCTATTCTGAATGCAGCCTCTCTGTCTTCTCCACTGCATGCTGCATATAGAAGCCGCGGTGAGCCCTTCAATTGTCAAATCTCATTATGTCAGCATCCTGCTTACAATCCTTCGGTGTTTTCCTTGCCAAGCTCTCCAGCGTCATCCTTCATACTGCTCACCTTCCTCCTGGCTTTGTCTCTTTCTGTCTCATGTTCAGGCACAAGGCTCCCTTCTTGCCTGGTTATACTTTTCATGACTCTTCTCCTGACTTCTGCTTACTCATGTCTCGGGCATTGGCTTAAACATCATTTCTTCAAAGAATTTTTCCCTGACCTCCAATCTTTGGCTTTAGACAAAGTGAGGTGCTCTTGTTACGGCTCCTATACAAGTTTTGTTTGTTTTTCTTTCAAATATAGATCACGACTGCAATGAATTCATTGTTTAATATCTGCCTTCAAATGCATTATACATTTCCATAAGTCTGTTAAAACATGTGCTCTAATGAAGATACCCCGAAACAGGCTTTGTGTGAGCAACATGGCTGTTTATTCACCTGGGTGTGGGTGGGCTAAGTCTGAAAAGGGGGTCAGTGTAGGGTGGTGGAATAGGAGTTGGTTTTATAGGTTTGGGGTGAGCAGTGGAAAGTTGCAGAAGTTACAGTTTAGGGTGGTTTTGTTTTGCAAGTTGGGAGGGTAGGGGCTGGAGTCAGGAGGTTGACCAAGGTCGGTTGTGAAGGCCAATGGCCTTGTCAGTCAAGGCCAGAATAAGAAACAATAGAAGAATGTCTCAGGTTAGTTAGGTGCTGCAGGAGTTGATGGTTCTTCTGCTTTTCCTGGTCTTCCCGTTACTTCAGGTTTTCTAATTCTGGAAGGCTCTCCAGAGGTGTATGTGCAGGTCACGGGGGTCCCCAATAGCATCCATGGTGCCATCAGTCAACCTAAAAGACCTTACAAAATCACGTTTCTTTTTCATTTTTGGATGGATGAATGGAAGTGTGGCTAGTGGATTTCATAATTACCATTTGGTGAAGTTTCAGAATAGCTAAATTCACTGGTCTTTTATAACTTGAACTTCAAATATGAATTAGGAGTCACATTCCAATTCTGAAATTTAGGTCTGTACTTTGAATAATGTCTTTTCCAATTTCAGAAAGTGGTATGTGGACTGAAAATGCAAACTAAGTTCAAGTCAAGCCACTGATTTCTTATGCCTAAGAAATAAAAATAAAGTATGAATCTGACTCCTTTAGAAAGAAGCCAGGAAACTGACACGGGAAAAGCATCTCATTCTCCATGTACCTTAGACGTTACATTTTGAGCAGCAGAATCCGCCATGATTAACCTAATTTGATGGGGTGAGAAAATATTTTTAGCTGTACCATAAATAGATCTGTTCAAATTCCTACTTCCCTATAATATTTGCTGTACATTTTCTCAAGCAATTATGGCTTTTGCCCTAATTTGATCATTCACAACTTAATCCTTACACAAATGTTTCTCCTTTTAAAAATATTATCCCTTTTTCAACTCAGCTTTTCTCATGTGAAATTTCCCCTCTGAACCACAAAACAGAGAAGACGATTTCAGTCACTATTTTCTTGATTCTTCCAAGAACAGTACATGGCAAGTGAGAGAAGTTATTGGATTACATGAAGATGTCTTGGGACGGTGGTTCTCAAAGTGTGGTTCCCAGACCAGCAGCTTTAGTACTTGCTAAAAACTTGTTAGAAATGTAAATTTCCTGCTCCCAACCTACTGAATTAACAATCTGGTGGTGTGGGTGGCCAGCAGTCTGTAATCTTTGTACTAACAAGCACTGTAGATGACTCTAAAAACACTCCAGGTGGGGCTTGGTGGCTCATGCCTGTAATCCCAGAATTTTAGGAGGCTGAGTCAGGCACAAGGTCAGGATTTTGAGACCAGCCTAACCAACATAATGAAACCCCATCTCTACTACAAATACAAAAATTAGCTAGGCGTGGTGGCACACACCTGTAGTACCAGCTGCTTAGGCAGCTGAGGTAGGAGAATCTCTTGAACCTGTGAGGCGGAGGCTGCAGTGAGCAGAGATGGTACCATTGCACTCCAGCCTGGGCAACAGGGTGAGACCCTGTCTCAATTAAAAAACCAAAAGTACTCTAAAGCTTGAGAAACTTTGCCTTGGGGCATTAGTACTTGTTCTTAGGACCATCTGAATGGTCTGTAATCACTCTGATTGCTTGGCCCAGTCTTAAAGTTTCTGATTCAGTTGCATTAGAGACTCAATTATTTGCATTTCTAATAAATTTCCAGGTGATACTGACAGTACTGATATGGGAATCGCACTTTGAGAACTACTGCTTTAAAGTTATCTGTGATTTTTTCCAAATGGAGTGATTCCTGTTGATGCCTGATTCACACTGTTTTACTTTCTCAAAATTACTACTAAGGAACTCTCTCCCTTTCTGTTCCTCAAGGGTAGAGACCATGCCCACTTCTTTACATCTGTTACAGTATTTAGAATATTGACACATAATTGATCTTGAGCAAATTTCTTATGATAAATAAATGAAATCGCTGTAAGGTTTTGGGTCTTTTTGAAAAT